CACACACACACACACACACACACACACACACACACACACACACACACTGTAGGTTAATGAAGACAATACAGTAGAAACACCACAATCCACTGGCTTGTGCTGCCTCCTAGTGGTAATACATAGCTGGTGACTGGTTTTGTACAAGAACATACAGACTCTATGACTCAGAATAACTGGGAAAGTAGTAAATACTTATTTTGAAGCTTCAGTTTTTTTGGGGGGGGGCGGGGTAAAAAAAATGTTATTTTTCTGTATTTTGTAATATTTAGGGATTGCATTATAGTGCAGTAGATTTACATGCTTCAACAGCCATTCACACCTTGATTCAGGGGACCCAAACAACTCATTCAATGACCTGCATGAGTAATGAATCCATATGTTCTCCACATACCCACCATCCTCAGATGAGGTTTGCGTTTACTGCTGATTTGCAAATGGCATCATGCAAACATGCTATAAGATGGTAAAAAATTATACATGCTAATTTCTAAACTAAGAATGCAGCCTTTCTGTTTTACTAATAGATCTCAAACCCAAGCTGAAACTCAGGGTTAGATTGGAGACCTCCTTCCTGAGCAACAGTGTAGAACTGGTAACACAGCCAGGTTTACTCTTTGTAATGAGTGACTGATTTTCATGTGTAAAACTGGTGGAATGCCCCTTTAACATGGTTTGTTTTTCTCTGTTGTTACAAATTCTCTTTGCTGTCATACAATGTTGATCAAAAGGAAGTAAGTCAGGAATTAATTGTTTATTTGTTTATTTATTCATTTGAAATTTTATTTGAAGAGCCATTTTTATTCATTTCAGCCGTGCTTCCTGCTTAGTTGTCTGTTCCAACCAACAAAACACCCCTCAACCCAACAACAGGAATACAATACTTCAGCCCTTGATGCCACCTGGACCAATGACTGCATCACTTGCCAACTGCAGCCAAAATTGGACACAGTACTGTCGGGTCATCCTTCTTGAACACTCTGTACACACATTCATTTGAGTCGAACACTGACACACATTCAGCCGGGATACGTTTAGGGGTTGAAAACCTGCAATCACACAATTAACAGAAGACAGTGAACATGTAAATATACAGTTATATTTGTTATTTTTCCATTTAAACACTGTAATGTTACTTACGCAGCGCAGCATCCCTCACAACTACAGTCATAGCATCTGCTATTCCTCCATGAAGATCCTACTTCATGCCAGGTTCCATCGTCATGATCCTGACAATGTGTCATGCCTGTAATCATATTTCATCTCAGTCAAATTGTTGGTTCATTTGTGAATATGTTATATATTGCTCTAATGAAGAAATGTATATACCACAAATATAGACTGTGTGTCTGTGTGAGTGTGTGTTTTGTTTCTCTTTTACCTGGTTTGGTGAGGATCTGGAAGCAATCAGCATTTGACAGTGGCAGGAGGCAACATAGCAGCACAGCCAGGAACAAATATTTCTTTATAGACAAACAGAAACAAATCCAACAGTTTTAACATTTAAGCCAAGCAAACAGAAACCGTGTGTCTATAAGAGCATGAAGTTGGCAATTTGGTTGCTACATGTAGATTGTTAAACAATGTCGAAACAAATTATTTGTTCACCGGTATAGTACAACTATAATACAAATTTCTCCAGTCAATATTTTTGTCACAAAAGAGAAAATTAGAAGTATTAAAATTTACCATGGTAGCTGTCAGACTTGAGTCTATGCTGTCGGATGAGAGGCGGAAAAGGAATGTTGTGTATTTCTAATGAAGGACTTGCTCTTTTAAACAGTGTCTCAATAAGGACCTTTGGAATTAAATAAAATAAGGGGAGGAGCAGTGATTTCCTAGAATAGGTCATCGCCTCTTGTACCTGTCTAACAGAAAAAACTGTTTTTATAATATAAAGTGCAGAACAAGGCAAGTCTTCAAATATGTAAAAATCCAATCAAATTGTATTTGTACAGCCTATATTCACAAATCACAGTTTGCCTCATCGGGCTTAACAATCTGTACACAACCCTCGACTAAATGAGGAAAAACGCTAACTTATTTTTAAAGTTTGACAAAATATAGTTCCTCTGAGTCATGCACATATACTATATACATGAGGATAATTTTCAAAGGTGCCTTGGGAAATGGCCATAAAGATGTTGCTGGGCCTTCTTGGTGATTTCCATGGTGACGGTGGTCGAGGTAAAATTGATATTTGCTTTACTGAACAGTATTTTGAAACATGCATTTTATCATTTTCATTTGGCACATAAAACACAAACAATAAATATCTCAATATTTTCTTTCCATTTCTGATGCAATAATAATAATAGTTGAAATAATAATAATACATTGAAATAATAATGTTATTGGTATAATGTTTCACAACACAAAAAATATAAAACATATAAATGTACAAACAATTCCAATGAATAAACATTGAAGTGTTATAGTCAAATAGCAATACGTTTACTGTTGAAGCGATCCAAACGATCCAGATCCATTATGGACGTAGATCCAGTCCATGTTTTGGTGTTAGACTGACGCGCCACAGACTTGGTTGCCAGTTCGGTTGAAACGCTGCTCTCACGGTGCTGTTTGTCTTCAGCGGGCAGAGAGAGCAGGATGTGGAGCGCAACCTGGCAACAACTCGTGTAACAAAAGGAAGTGCGCACAGTGAATGTTAGCGCGTTAAATAAGATTTAGTGAGAAACACCTTCATCATCCGTCTCCATTTTCTCACGAGAAGAATTCAGACCGCCTCCACCAAGAAGAAGAAAGAAAAGGTGAGCAGCACGACACAAAGATAGCGCCAATCGGTTAGCTCTTAGCATGCTACGCTAACGCTAGCATTGGTAGGCCAGCCCACAGTCGCAGTACAAAGGCTCTACATCAAAGATGGATGCTAAACTATTGATAACTCTGAATATGTCATATTTGTCACAATCAATTACACGTAATAGTTCGATTACACAACTTTTACCATTATATTCAGAACATGGCAGTAAAGGCTGGTGCTCACTGTGGATTCAACACATTGTTGTGTCGTGGTGAACTCCCCTGCTGTCAGACGAACCCCAGCATAACATGTGTTTAAACATCAGTCTGGTTGTTTTCCTTATCCATGAATCTACCGTTTATAAATACGTAAAGATCGATCACTGTTTCAGCTTCAGAAAACAGCGAACAATGTCCATGACTCTTCCAGACTCCATGTTAACATATGTGTTGTTTTGATCAAGTGTTGGCTCGTGTCATTGTCTGTAATTGTTAGTTTGCCTAAACTATCATATATTCAGGGTAAGAGGTTACATCCAGAATATTGTGACACATTAGCTTTTGAAATGACTTTATTGATTCGCAAATGTTGCTGATTAACTTTGGATTATCTTCAACATCCAGCCATAATATTAAAGGAGTGCTTCTGTGGTTAATTATGGTACCAATATAAATTAAGGGGACTCTCAAAATACTTAAAATACATAAAAAATACGAGAAGTTATCATTAATCCCAATCTGAGAGGACCTTCGTTTTATTAAACTTGACTAAACTCTTTTCAGAGCCTGAAGATAATACATATGTTTTAGAGCTGCAACAATTAATTGTAATTGATTGATTGATTTAGCCTCTATTAAAGGAATAACACCAATCATTTTCTGGTTTTAGCTTCTCTAATGTGAGAATTTGCTTTGTTATCATATAATTTTCTATCACAAATTATCTTTGAGTATTGGACTTGCATAAAGACAAATCAGCCAATTTCAAAATTAGGTTTAAATGGGTGCTAACTGTTACCATTGCTTTGAGAAAATATTTGTCTGATCAATTCTCAAGGAAAATAATCATCAGGTGCAGCTCAACAGACTGTGTAGCAACTATAGTAATATGATCTTCGTGTTCTGTGGTGAAAGGCAAAGAAAGGAATTTGCTGTTTTCTCAGCCGATCTGAAATAACAGAAATAAACTCCCTCTTACCCTCCAGTTTGGTCTGAATCCACACAAGTTGTTGAACCCTGCTCATGGCCCTTTGGGGCCCAGGAAGAGGATGCATCGTGGAATGGATAAGGATTTCCAGATATCAGCAAGGAAGATGGGCACATCCTTGCTTTTCCAGCTGTCAGCTCATGAAAGAGAGCTGGACTTAGTGTTTCTGGACCATAGCTATGCCAAGCCGTGGAATGCCCACCCAGATGCCAGCAGTGCCCGGCCCACAAGGACACTGTTTGTTACCCCTCGCCGCCAGCCTGAAGCCTTGTCGTGAGTCAACAAGCTCCTTAGACTTTGACAGCACCTCAGACTACAGTTTGGGGTGATCATCAGCTGTCCACTCTGTTTTAGCTCTTGTAAAAATGTTTTAAAATGTTTTTTTTTTTTCTTCTCTTTTTCTGCAGAGAATGTGATTCTCTAATTGACGTGGAAACAGTCAAACCGTCCCCTATTCCTCTATATGACAACCATAAAGCTCTTAGTGTAATGAAGGAGTGTGAGCGACATGTCCTGTTCGCCCGCACTGTTGCTGAGAGCCCTCCACCCCCCGATGACTGGGAGGAACATTTGAACAAGTAACAAAATCCATTGTTTTACTTGACACTTGTGCATGAGTGTAGACATTATGATTGAAAGTATCTCAGTTACAATATGTTGTTTTAACTTTATTGTTATTGTCTTTCAGGGCTGGATGGTCAGTGGCCCAGAACAAACTTTTCAATAAAGTCCTGAAAGCTCTACATGCTGAACGACTCGCTCGTCTGGCCAATGACAATGTAAGTTGCGCTCATTTAATCTTAAAAGATAAAATTGAAGAAATAGATCTGCAGCATCATTTGTGAGGGCTGGATTGAAGACCATTTGAAATCCCTAGTTTATTATTATGTTATGCTGATCTTAGATTAGCCACATTGGAAATGCCACAGAGTCAAATTAGTGTCAATAACATTTTGAGCCTGTAAAACTCATGTTCCCAGATAAATCCCAAGTTTCTAAATTTATGAGCATTTTACCCTCAGCAGTCGCCATGTTGATTCGCTTTGTCCGTTTGTAAAGCATTCGGGAATTTCCATCTACCAATTTGTTTTTAGACAGGTCCTGAATACACAACAGTTGAAGGGGTGTTTGAAGGGCTAGATGGCCACTACCCCTCCATCACATAGAGAAATGGGGCAACACTACCCCTTTACTGTTAAATGAAGTGGTTGGCATTTGGGGTGAATTGGGACCTAATACTTGGTCTTCTTTGTGATTTTGTTTCTCTTAGGCTTCCAATGAGCCAATTTTGCGGAGGATAGCCGTGGATAAGTGTGCCAGAAAGGTGCGGCATGCATTAGCCAGTGTGAACTGGGACACAAAACTGACGCAGTGGTTACACACCACCATGATCGAGTCCTTAAGCCTTGCCATGCTTGCTGCTTACCTGGATGTACTGCAGACTCTCAAAAGCAAGGTATAATATCTGTAATTAAATCAGTAGTAATTATGAGGATATTTCCTGTCAGATAAGTGCTGCAGCATCTGTGCTTCTTGATTCATTATTACCCATCTCTGTGTCTGGGAAGTTGCCGTTGCTGATTGATAGAATGTTGATGCCTTCGGCAAAGACTGGAGCTCCCAGTGCAGAGGCTCTGTCACTGCTGCTGAAACGGCCGTGGGACCCTGCTGTTGGAGTTCTGTCTCAAAACAAACCGGTAAGATAAAACCATTCACTCCAAAAGAAAACATGTTAAAAGAACATTTTTCACTTATTTGCAAATATTTAAGACCGGATCCCTGTCTGCTTTCTTACATATTTCAGAGCAAGCTTCCTGGATCCCCGCTCATCCTAATTGCACCATCAAGCCCAACCTATCCTGCCCTCTCTACTTCAAGGCGGATGCGATTCTGGCAATCACAGCTCTCCTGTTTAGGAAAGGTCTGAAGCATCACTCATTTAAATCTTAGCTTGCTGCCAAGAACGTAGTGTTTTTTAATTTCTCTCAGAAACGTGCCTCTAACAGCTCTTTCCATATCAGGTCATACCAGTGCACACTCATGTTAACAGTGGTGCAAATATTGGCATTACCCAGTGCTTGGAGCACATGTTGGGGACTGTCAGGGCCAAGGTCATGGAGGTAGGTTGGTCGTATTTGATTCATTCTAAAAAAACTAATAATGTGTTGTTTTGACATTCAAACCTTAACGGGACACCAGGATTTCCTTCTATCAGGATAAAGTAGCTGATGTGAAATATTTTGTCAAGGAAAACAGGAATAAAATAGATCCAACATATACTTAATCAAGTTATATTTGATTTTGTCTGTAATATTTCTGCAGCTGTTTTAATTAAGTTTTAAAATGTAACCTCCAGGTTCACAGTCACTTCCCCCACAAACCCATTATTCTGGTTGGCTGGAACGCTGGTGCGCTTATCGCTTGTCACGTAAGACTTCTTATAACTTATCAATGTTGTTTAGTGTAATGCTAAACAGTTTTCATCCATGAAAGAAATGCAAATTTTTTTTCAACATAATAATAATTTAATACTTCTTTTTATTTACAGGTATCCCTTATGGAGTATCTGACTGCTGTTGTGTGTCTTGGCTTCCCCCTGCTAACAGTCAATGGGCCAAGAGGGGTAAGATCTTTCATTCATATGTATTTTTATGCGTCTACAGTGGTGACAGCCATAGCCAGAGGTTTTGCAAGTTGTCCGTCCGTCCACCCCACTCACATTAATGTGACATCTCCGGAATGCCTTCACTTGGACTCGAGGATGAAGTGATTTGATTTTGATGGTCATGGTCTTTTTGACCTCAAAAAATGTTGGACGTAACTCAAGAATGAACTCCTCACGAAAATCACATGTCAATATAACGATGACTTCAATTTCCCCTCAAAAGTAAACTTAATGCCATCTTTATTAATGTTTGATATTTATGTTTGTTAATGTGCTACTGTTTTTCAGGATGTGGATGATCCACTGCTGGACATGAAGACTCCAGTGTTATTTGTGGTCGGCCAGAATGCATTGCAGTGTAGTAACGAAGGTATGGAGGAGTTCAGAGAGAAGCTGAGGGCAGACAACAGCATGGTGGTGGTTGGAGGAGCTGATGACAACCTCAGGTTAGTATTATGGGATTGTGTCTAACGGAACGTGAGGATATTATTTTCATGCAATGGCAACACTAAATTATATCCCTCTACAGGATCAATTCGGCAAAGATGAGAACAGAGGGACTGACACAGACCATGGTGGATCGCTGCATTCAGGTTTGTCCTGATCAAATTTGAGTTTTTCTCCTTAGTGACTGACAGATGTGAGTTTTCAGTGGCCAACGCCAATATTTAGAGAATAGGCCGACTGACTGCAGATATATAATACAGGTGTTTTGAGTCTCTTTGGCATCAGATAAAATACAAATAAATAAAAACACAAAATTGAACATTAACACTAATGTGATTGTTGGCGTTAACTCATATTTCTTTAGTAGATCTCCACTCTTTCTGCCGTGCACTTATTTAAGATAAAGTGAGGCAGTAGGTAACCAAAGGCTAGCTAGCTGTTAATAATTAGTCTGCTGCTGGCAAAACATTTGGAATCATCATGTGTATCAGCAACACTGATGAAGAAAATATGTGACCTGCTTACCTGCAGACCACAGACTCCCCCACAATAAAAGGCTTTACAGTTCCAAATGACTAATCTGATAAAAGTTTTGTGCCAGGAGTTGGAGTGGGGGGCTGGGGAGGCCAAAATACATTTTTGAACAATGTAAGCTAGTTTAGCTGTTTAAAGGCTTGGAACGTTTACAATTTACAAATTGTATTCCCATTTTCTCACTCAAAGATTAGAATGAGTCTAACTATATAGATTTGCTGTGTTGTTATGAGTGGGAAATATTGACGTTCTATCCAGTATTGGAATTTACCCACTGTCCAACGGCAGCTCCTGAAATGTGCCCACTCAAATTCTCTTTATTGTAGAATAAATGAAAATTAATAGGGAGCGCTAACATCATTCTACAGCAGGCATCGTCCAATGCCAGTCATCTCCTAAATACCTGGTGACTGATTATCGGTTGACCTCTATTTTCTGTACTCAAAAATCTATGTTTTTTTCTTCTTTACTGAACTGCAGGATGAGATCGCTGACTTCTTGTCAGGTGTCCTCACGAGGGCAGAGGGCCATGGTCATGGCTCAGGGGAGATGAGGGATCTGGACACAGAGAAGAAGAAAAGGCCTCGACGGGAGCTTCCCTTTGACATGGAGAGAGGACGACCTTCCTCCCCTGCGCTTAGAGTTCCCATCTCACCATCAGGTTCAGAGGTCAGTTACAAGCTGCAGCTTTTACATCAAGCTTTTAGATGAACACCCTTGGCTGCTTCTGTTTATCAATATAAGATAATATTATCAAAAATACTTGCAATAATTGAATGCAGTTGACGAGGGTTGCATGGGTGTGAGGCTTTCATGGGATGATGACCATCTCTGAAAACACACACGCAGGGGACAGCCTAGAGGTGGGGTTGGAGACAACTGAACATTTTACACCATCCGTCAAACTAAAATCAGTTATGTAAAAAAGCCAATCAGGCTCCTTTATCACACATCTCACATTCTTTGTTCACTCGCATTGCTGCTTTTTTGATACTGGTATGACACAAGTGAAACTCCCTATCACTTTTCATCAAAGTTTTAAATTAGCTCTCTAGTCATGGGTGCAAATAACTGGTGCATAATAAAATAGTGTAATGTTAGTTATTATGTATTCCTCAGAATTAATTGATATTTTTCTCATACAAAAAAACCCACATCTGCCTGATAATGTAAAAATATAATCTGCACGAACGCAGTGTCAGTAGTGGCCTTCTTCTATGAAAGGTTTCATTTCCTCCACTCAGAAGAGAAACAGAATTCTGAAATAAGTTTACATTGTACCTCCTTGAGTGAGTGGCTTTAATACACTGGAAAGATTATTGAAGCAAATAGGATTTCTATTTGTCTTTATCTTTGTGTATTTGGTTAAGTGATACAAATATGTAGACATTTTAAATTATTACATATACACATTTTTATAGATTGCATGAACTATTGGGGACACTGTCCCCCCATGATTTCTAGTGGTACTGCTTCATTTAATCCATTTCTTCCGTATCTGTAAACTTTCAGAAGCAGTCACAAATACAGATGCAATGAATACAGAGTATGGATGGAGGGCTCCATTTGTTTCCATAGACATATCTATCGTTCAGCCTTTAGGGTTGCTGAAATGAAATGATTGTATCTCACAAATGGTAACAGCAATAGGTTTTTACTGTCACCAAACACTATTCATCAGGTGCTATTCCACTTTAATGTGTCCTCAGGATCTGTCTAGCGTCTGTAGCAGCCCCACCTCAAGTCCCAAACCAAAGACGTCAGGTCTGTCTCCAGCACAGAAGTCCAGTCTGATTACAGCGACACAGCTCCTCAAGACACACATGCAGCGCTCTGGGACAGTACTCACTCACAAGCAAGCTCAAGGTTAGCTCATCACCACACTTCAACTGTGGATGCATTGAAAACAAACTGATTGAGCATTCACGTTCCCCTACACGTGCACAGTGATCTTGGTTCATGTGGGTTCACAGCTCTCACATTTACACCACTTGTTTATATAAACATGTTAAAGGAGTCATTCACCTCAACTTCTGCTGAATATCGTATGAGCTGAGCAGGCGTGGGTGGCGTGTGAGATGTGAAAGTGATTGTAAATAAATTATTTTTTAAAGAGATTATCAGTCACGACATCCAATGGGGCAAGATGGAATGTGACTGAAATACTGTCCTCTCATCTTCTTGTCTTTTCTCTTCCTTCAACTTTCCTTTCCGGCTTTTTTTCCGATTCATTCCAGCTCAGTTTGCTGCTTTTATGAAACAAAACATGCTTGTGAGGAAAAATCTTCCTCCTGGCACTCCTCCTTGTATCTTTGGTAAGTGTCTATCCCTCTTCCTTTCTCTTTCCTCTCTGTCTCTTCACTCCTATCCTTGCTTCCATTGCTGTAATTGTATATGAATGTCACACCAGAAAACACTGCACTAAAATACTCATTGTCATGCTTTGAATTTTACATTTCTCAAATTAAGAATTACTCAAAAGACATGACAGAATATAGAAAGTGTTTTCACAAAAGATTTATAGCCTAAAAAACCCCAACCTCGTGTTGCGTCAACAGTCTATTAAATGTCTGTGTTTGTGTGTTTGTGTGGTGCAGTGCCAGTGACCAGTGATCAGATGGAGGGCCTTGACCGAGATGAACCGAGGTCCCATGGCAAGAGGAGGCAGACGCCAAGCCCCACGCCAAGCAAAGCATCCAAGAGAGCAAAGATCAAGGTGACCATTGTTTCCCAAAGTGAGTCAGCGGGGGGCGCCATCAGTCATGCTGCACAGGAAGGTACACATCCTGATATCCTAATTTCACCACTTACCTCTGAGGCTGTATTAAAAGTAGCTATTATATATTGAACTATTCTGTTTTCTTTACACCTTGAGGAAAAACGTTTTTGGCTTTATTATTTTGTGGTTCCATAGAATCAGTAGTAGACAGACAGTATGGAAAACAATCTGAAGTTTTTACCAGCTCAACCTCATACAGATCTTTAGATAAAATGATATGAAAGATTTTTCAAAACTATGTAGAATGCTACCCATAATGCTTGACTATCCAGTACTTGGAAATTGTTGGGGGGCTTCAGATTTCTAAATTCTCTCCTGCTATTCTCTTTTCCCTGCAGCGAGTGTCTCTGGGAAGCCCTTAACAGTGACAGTGGGACAGACTGTTGCTGGAGCCAAGGAACTCTCAGGACTTCTCACAGGCCAGCGGTAAGCTAGCTGGCCCTGCCACACACATGCACTCTTAGTGTAGAGCATTTAAACCCCTCACAAAGCCTACACCCACAACCCCCTCCCACCCTGTTGGACAAATGTGTGTCTGGTGCAGAGGGATTGATGAGTTGTGTACTCAGAGTTTGGGAGCGGAGTGATGGACAAACAGCACTTGCCGGGGTAGCTCTTGAGTAGACTGGTGGTTATGTGTGTCACTGCAGGTCTGGTAGTCTCTCAGAGGTGTCTGGTGCCCTGTCCCCAGGCTCCAGCTCATTCAGCAGTGTGCAGCCTTGCATGGTGTCAGGGTCCTCCACACCAGTCCAGGCGCAAGCTCCGGCTACTGCCCAAGGTATCTCTGTCCTGTCCTGCCCTGCACGCCTGTTTTCACTCTCAACTGCGCTGAGATTAGCTGCGTCAACACACAGCGCAGTTCTAGCTGCTTGTTAGAGTGAGATTAAACTTTTGAACACTGGATGATAACAGTGTACAAGGACAACCTAATTAAACAAACATCATTGATCACCTCTTGCGCCATTGCTGTCTGTCGCTGTCCCGATCCTTACCCTTTGGACATGACTTTAACACGGTGTGTTTGTGTGTGTGTGTGTCCATCTAGATTAGACCTGTGGGGATTGGCTGGTAGCAGTTTGTGAAACTAGGATTTGTTATGTTAATATTAACTTGGCATCGATTTCACCCAGATTTCAGCTTCATTGATTGATTGTCTTTGTTTGTGCACAGCGCCTTCCGCCAGCAGTCTGCTACAAGGCCTAAGTTTCAGTCTTCAGGAGATCATCACCAAAGCTCCTAGCCTGTCCTCGTCACCAGCCAACACAGGCAGCACCCAGGTACGTCCTGACAACATGGTTACATTCGATAACATTTGAAGGACCATGATGAAAGTTTTGATTGTTTATAGGAAACATATTAGGCTCATATTCAAGTTTGTAATTTTAATTTGGGTTATAACTTTAAGTGGTTTACATGCACAGATTCAGATTCATGCACATGTTCAGAGAAGGCATCACTGTCCTTGTACTGCTGCTCTTTTCAGCCTCTGTCTGAGGCCCTGTCCACGTGATTTTCAAAAGAATCTGGTTCTGTGTGTACACGTACACCCAAGTGTTTGGGAAACAATGACGGCATAGCTTACTTCACATATGCCCACTGTTGCTTTGTGCATCTAGCCAGAAACAACAACAATAATAGCAGCAGCTGTTTACTGGTTAGAAGGAGAATAAGCTCACTGAGCATGCTCACAATGTTTTTTGGTATTCGATGGATCATTAAAGGGATAGTTCACGAGAAATGAAAATCCCCTTATTATCTACTCACCACTATGCTGATGGAGGGGTAGGTGAAGAGTTTGAGTCCACAAAACACTTATGGAGTCTCAGGCTTGCAGCCAAATCCAATACAATTGAAGTAATTGGTAATCAATTTTTCAAATGAAAAAAACACATGAAATGCCTTCATGCTGCTCATGTGGTGTCATCCAAGTGTCCGGAAGCCCCGACATTCACATTTGACTCGAAACTGTGTAATTTACACCATGTTTTAAGCCTAAATGTCCTCTGATATCCTCCTCTGAGCCTTGTTCTCACATTCACACACACCTCACACGATGCACACAAGCTCTCACCAAAGGTCACACTTGGGGTCTGTGTTAGCATCGCAACTTCCGGTAGCAGACTTTAAGTCTTAAAGCGTGGTGTAAATGATGCTGTTCGAGTCTAATTTGAATGTCGGGGCTCCCGGACACTTGGATCACACCACACAAGCAGTATGGAGGCATGTTATGTTTTGTTTTTTTATTATATTTTATTGCATCTGAAGAAGGAGTCCCCAGTTACTTCAATTGTATTGGATTTGGCTGCAATTGTGTTTACCCCTGAAACTAAAAAATGCTTCACCCACCCCTCCATCGACATAGTGGTGAGTAGATGAGTTTTAATTTACATTTTTCAGTGAACTATCCCTTTAATGTAGAGTTTATCTGTGCCTTCTGGCCTGGCATGCTTGTTTGAGCTTTTGTAATTGTTTTTTGGCTTCAAGATATTCTTTGAAACAGGACCTGTTTAAAAACGGAGGGGAAAATATCTGTTTAAAAAAATAGTAGTGTAGACGAGGCATGAAATGCTTGGCTTTAGCTCCCTTCTCTTAAGAAAGCAGATCTGTTCTGGATGACACCATCAACTGTTTGTCTTCTCCTCCTCCTCCACACTCAGGCGGCTTGTGGGAAGCCCCAGGGTCAGGTCCTGAGCTCTGTCGGCACCAGCAGCAGCACTCTGCTCCGTGCGGTGCCTGTGGTCACCACAGGGGGAGTGGCTAAAACCACCGCCATCCACCAGCTGCTCACCAATGGTGGGCTGGCCAAACTTGCTAGCAGCTTGCCCGGCTTGGCACACATCACCAATCAGACCGCTGGTATGTCTCGAACTGCCAAAACCAGACGGCCACGTTGAATGCCCAGGGTTCATTCATCCTTTGTTTTGGAAACACTAGTTCAGGATGTCTGTAGGTCAGGGAGAAATGTGGTGGTTAAAAAAAAAAAAAAAGAGGACGGTTCTGTCGACCTGTGTGTGAAGATAGTGTTCCTTTAAGAGCTGCTGTTAGCTGAGTCAGATGAACAGCCATACAGCAGCTGAAAACAGACCAGCGACATGCAACGTGTTGAGTTCATGTTTAGAACGTTATGGTCAATGTAAGGTCAGATTTTCCAGCTTATGTTTGACACATATAGAAACTGATGTAAATGTAAAATATAATGTATGAGACAATACAGAAGAATTGTGAATAATTTAAAATCATTGTTGGTAATGTTGACCAAACTGCTTTTGTTGGTTCGCCATTTCATGTTTGTGTTTATTTAGTTTGCCTCTTCATGTTGTAACATTTTAAAAAACCCTTTCATTGAATCACCTGCTTATAATATCCATAAATATGACCTCTGACAGAGAACTGTTGAAAAGCAATAACAGTATATGGCATGACCCAAGATCTGTTATTGTCACAATAAAGACTGGAATCAAACTCATGTTTTCATTATGTTTGTGTGCTTTTTTCCCCCAGTGTGATTCAGTTGTATTTGTCACGCAACTAAACATTCAACATTTACTTCTCATCATGCTGCTATTGTTTTTATTTGCCAATCTACCACAAAACAGAAGAGATCATCGTTGTCACTACCATCCATGTCGGACTACATTTGTGGTTAAGTAAAATGCTGAAGTCCATCTTGGTGTATTTTGGTGATTAGCATGTGAAGTCGTTAGTGCTGAGCCGTTTTGTCTGTGTGTTGTCAGTAGGGCAGAAAGTCCCCACTTCTATAACGGTGACGCTTCGAGGAGCGCAACCAAGTAGAACGGGATCTCTCAGCCAAGGTGGTGAGGCTGTGACCCCGGCTCCTCCCCAGGAGCCCAAGGTGTGTCTCATTTAAATGCCACATGTGACTTTTTATTCGTTTACTTACCATTATCTCTACATGACAGCTCATGATGTATTGAATAATGAATAATTAAGGTTTCTTAGAGCATGTTCCTCCAAAAGCTATTGATCATATACTGAGGATTAGGCGTATTAACAAAAGTATTATTAGTTGTATTTTCTTTAAATATATATATGTATATATACACAGTTATACAGTTAAAAATAACACTGTAGAGGTTTTCATTTGCATTATAGCTTTAAAGAGATTTTTTCGTGAAGCAGCTGTTCTCCTGGGTACCCACTTCTATATTGATACAGAATACTATTTTTTTTACATTTTGAAATCACATAATTGAACATTGCAATAATTCCTCCTTGTCTGCAGAGTTAAAGTGACTTCATCAATGAACTGTTTTCATATTCTGTCTAAAAAAGAGGCTTTGTACAAAAAGAAGCTGCTCTTTTGTTCATCTGATTGTGGCTAATAATATCATCATACTATTACTGAATACACTGCAAAACCTAAATCTGTCAAGTACTAGAGCTTAAGATATACTGTGAATGTCAAGCAGTTCTTTGTCCTCAAGGCTTTGATATAAGTGGATTAATTATTATATTTGCCCTTTTACAGCAGTGAAAATCTGGGCTTGCGGTTTCCAAGTGGTGATGCACGTGATGTGACCTGGTGCTGTACCAGAGACCTCTGGGAGCGGCGGCCTGCTGATGAGACTGTACCCTCCCTGTAATGATGTATACACCACCCCCACAACATGCGGAGCACCTGCCCCACACCCTCCAGAGGGCTCCCCCGTCGAGACGCTTGGAAAAGGCCACGCAGTCACAGTCAGTTGTGGCTGAGTTGCTTCCATGTGCAGGGATGAGCAGCACAGACTCTGCTAACACTGCAGTGGTGGATTTAATGCTAGTGTGCTGTCTCCTCTTTCACCTTTAATTTTAATGAGCAATTCTGGCGGTTACATACACAGCATGATGATATGTTATCCTCCAGGGAGGAAATTATATCATGTGAGGATAAACTGCAACCTCGCTGGACTGATGGTAACACTGTAAAAGGACAGACACAGAACTTCTTAGTTCAGACGATAACACAAGCTTTTCCTGAGTAGGCTCTATATTTGTTTAATTCCCTTTGTCATCATCTCATATCTAATGTCATATATTATAATATATCTTATGTATCAGCGCGATTAACAGGAACGTCACCTTTGGTGTCACAACTGGATGTTTACAAATCTCCCGATATTTGTGGGATGACTACATATGAATGTTAGTCATAGCTTTTATATTATCTATCACACTAATTATATCATCATCGTTATAGTAACTCTTCATAGTAATTTCACCATGACAACAAGCTCAACAGTATGATATGTCAAAAATGCAGTGGAGTGAGAACTAATTTTTAAAGCTAATAAAATGTGAGCATTGATTATAATCGTGTGGTTGCAGAAGCTGCAGTTTATGGCGTTGACTGTGCAATACTCACTTTGAATGTTATGTACTATGCACACAAGAAGCTGCAATAATGAACAGATCATGTGTCAGTATTTATGGTAAAGTGTGTTTTATACTTTTCCTCTATAACCTCATGTCCTATAATCTAAACTACTGTATGAGGCAATATTGCCCATCTGTGCTGTGTCATCACATCACTCTATATGGACTTTTTGTTTGACACTATCACAGTAGAAACAGAAGACAGTCAACTGTGTTCTATGTTGCCAATCTAAATATTTGGTTCTGTGTTCCAAACTTGTAGCTTTGAGCAAGCTGAGAAACTCCTCTTATTCAAAATATAATGAAGGAGATTACTCTCATGCATGGTAGTTAAACTGCCGTGTTTACAGCAGCAGCATAAATACAGCCCACTCATCTCGGCACACATCCTGTCTTAAATTCCTCACATAGGCAGCAGTCAGATAAGATAAAGAGAGGAGTGTGTAGCTCTCTTCTTATATAAGCCAGGCTTTGTATGTAATAGGCAGGGACAGGATAATTGATGCTAGTCAAACAGAGCAACAGAGCGGCTGCAGCATCCCATCATCAGCACCACTGGATATTTATGTGATCCAAATGAGGGATGCTCATCCAGTCTGCACAGCCCTTCAGTTTTGGTTGTTTTCTTGCCTCTGACACCGCTGCAAGATTTTTACATCTAATTATAAATACTATTCGTTAATAGGGGGGGAGGGGGCTGAAACTACGACCATAAGATTTAATCTGTAGGGAATATACTATACACTGCAGTGTTGATGCCAATAATATACTTTAAATGAAAATATGCATGTTAGTCCTTGTACATTAAACTAGAGTTAACTGCTTTGATTATATTTATATTCAACCATTCCTGCAGATGATAAAAAACACCAATAGTTAATATACTTAAATGTTTATGTAAATCTGTGTACATACAAATATTCAAAAACATATGAACTACCTATTTCCTAAAACTCAAAATGAAAAGAAGGAATTAAAGGACAGATGAAGATGATTCATTATATATTATTAATCTTATAAATAAATATCGGACACATTAACTCCTGATGCTTCACAGTCACAGAACGATTCATTAATAAAGAATTCCATCAGTTCCAATCATGACACACTGGAGACATCCTCTGACCTTGTTTATTTTTCAATTTACATGCCTATCATGTAGTGCCACGTACATGGCCAACAGGGGGCGCTATAATCACTTGCTCGTGATTTATGTGAGAGGTCAAGCAAAGACTGTGATTTGTGTGATGTATGTGAGAATAATTGTGTAAGTGTGCAACCTGAAAAAAAAACAAATAACAAAGGTTTTTCTTGCAAACAGCTTTAAAGTGTAAAGACTCACTACAATATCTTGTAGATTCAGTTGAATTTAAACTTTTTAAATTTACACTTTCATTAACAATGTCAAAACTGAACACCAGGGGCTCATTCTTAACTAACTCTGGGCCCAAGCTAAACATGAGCAAAAAATAATACCTTTACTGTGGTCGATTAATCTTGAAGTATTGTCTTTTTGTACAATTTGACTTACCTACCTTGTTTGTTAGTTTATATTTCAATTTACATGTAAATTGACACTTTGCATGTAGTGTAACGTGTATGTCCAGTAGGTGGCGTTGTAATCACTTCATCTTAATCATGATTGCATGAAAGGTGGAGCACAGTCTGTTTGATGTGTGTGTGCATGTGTGAGAATAATTGTGCAAATGTGAAAGCCTGAAAAATCTGCATGTTTCCGATATTAAGAAAGATCAAGCCCAGTTTGATGGACGTGTGTGTGTGTGTGTGTGATAGTAATTTTACAAGCCTTAAATAAGTGTGCTTTTCTGAAAGTCTGTCTCTGTGTCAAAGGTAAAAAATACTAAAAAGCTGCGGAAGATATTTTAATGTCAAATACTTATGTTTAAATAAAGTAAAATTCTAACTTTTGAATTTTACATACTGATGTGACAGCCAAATCGTAAGACCTGGGGCCAGCTGAACTATCTGTGGGCTCCGGCTCAACATGAACTACACATCTTTAACTTTCATCAATTCATCTTGAATGAAGGTCTGTGGGTTCAATTAGACTTTTAACACTGCAATTTTCCTTTCAGAAAAAGACATTACAGGCTTTATGTTGAACCAAACTGGAGCCCCCTCCCCTCACCTCTGTCGGGGCCCCTGGGGAGCAGCGAGCATGTGCCCAGGCATCAGTGAGTGAGGGGGGCTTTCTATCACCGCCCCTGCGGAGCTGCCATATCATCAAAGTTTCTCCGGCACTTCTTCCTCCGCCCGGAGCCGGACGAGAGAAATCTCTTCCCCCAAGAGCCGAGAGGACACCGGAGAGAGGCTGAAATTAAAACCCGCCCTCCGGAGGGATCTCATTTCCCCCCCAAAACCTCCCATTTTTTTCTCTCTCTCTTCTCTCTCTCTTTCCCTCTCTCTGTCTCTCTCTCTCTCTCGCCCCTCTCTCCTCCTTCACCTTTATCCCTCGCTTTCCGCCGTCTCCCCCACCACAATCATGGATCTCGCGGCGAGATGTTTGCTCCTGCTCTCCTGTCTCTGCTGCGCGATATCGGCGATCGATTTGGACGCGATTGATCCGGGTTACTACGTGGAGCCCGCTGCCACATCAGAGCCGATCGACTACAAGGATCCCTGTAAAGCTGGTGAGAGCTTCCTCTTTTTCTTTTCCCCCGCCGTGGGATTTGTTTTACCTTATTTACGTGGAGGTAGAAACATGCCACGACTCTTGCTCTCTCTCTCTCTCTCTCTCTCTCTCTCTCTCTGTGTGTGTGTGTGTGTGTGGATCTTGCAGAGAGAGATGACAGCAGTGCATGTAGTTTTTAAAAGGCTCCAGAACACAATGTGCGTCTGTTTTGCTCTGAATGACACAGTTTATTGTGCAGTTTTGAAAACATTTGAAGCTGCTGGATGAAGAGTGGCTTTGAGGATCTGAAAATAAAAAAAGGGAGGGGGGGTGAGGGGGGTGAGTCTGAGTTGAATCCATGAAAAGTTTGGGCTTAAGTGCTGGTTGAAAAGTTCCAGTCTGCTTTTCTTCTTCTCAAACGTGAGCATGTGAAGCTGCAGGCTGTGTCCTGGGTTGTATGAAAGAGAGCTGCTGGGAAAACAAAGGCTTTCTGAATCTTCTCCCTTCCTGGTTGTTTTTTTTTTTTTTGTCCCTGCACAAATAGTCTTTTTTTTTCCACCGGCTGTTCACAGGCCACTAAAATAAAGTGGAGGAGGAGAGAGAGCGAGGGAGAGAGAGAGAGGAGGGAGTACAGTAGAGCTCATGCACACATAATTCTGCTGGCTGTTGTCTTTCGGCTCAAAGTATAAATACGTCTGCTTCTTCTCTGCATTTTCCCTCATTATTTGGCTAACGTGTATCAGACTTGTCATTGTAATCTTTTTTTTTCCTCTTCCTCCACTGTGAACTCACTGTCTTGCCAAATCCCTTTGGGGGAGTTTGAACAGATTGTGTTTTCCATCTGGTGAAAGTATTCAGGTTACAGATACAGAGAGTTGGCTTCAGTCGAAATGACCTCTAAAGTCCTGGAAGTGTGCACCGGTTTGGCTTTTGAAGATTTCTGATGTGGCAGGCGATTATTTCAAAAAAAGAAAACTCACAATTCAGTCCTCCAGCTCTCCTCCACCTAGAGTGTCTGTTTTCTCCATCTTTACCCCAGTGATGATTAACAAATGACGAGGGAGACTTGAAAATTGGCTTTTTTCCATGAACAGGACAAAGGTCAGGCTGCAGATGAACTGTGTCTCATGTATGAGTCAATGGTGGTCCTGCTTTTGCTTCACTGTTTACGCTGACTTGGTCAAGTGGTCGCACCAGATAGTTTTGCGTTGTTGGTTTGGATTTACTGGACACTGACGTGGTGTTCAGATGACTCAAGAGTAAAAGGTAAACTGTTGACGACGCTGTGTTTATATTCCTCTTACCATCTCAACGGGGACATTCCCGCTCGATAACCCCCCCGTCATGATCACTGAGGATATCGTCATTATTACTAACAACACATTCGATTGTCATTTGAATTGATGGTAGTTGGGTTTTTATGGTTTTCCTTTGTGCACGTCTGCGGACAGAGACGGTCACAAGTACAAACTCTCACCCCCTTGAACCCTCTCTTCCTACACCCACCTGCCTTTCCTCCTTCCCAGCCAAACGTCCAAGATCTCTCTGCTCCTCCACACTCCTCCTCAGGCACTAGATTCACCAGAGAAAACATTTTCCACTATATAGTCACCTCCATATACCAGCGTATACAGGACTTAAACAGTTGATGTATTGTGCATTATTGATTTTTCTTCTCCTCATTTTTCAATCACATCACTGCACCAAGTCCATCCGATCGCTCTCTGTGGCCTCCGGGTCAGCATTTTCTTGTCACGCTGCTTCCCCTCAGAGAAGAAAAAACCAGCTTATAGCCGTGTGAAGTTTCTGATGCAGTGAGAGGAGCTCTGTGAGGAGAGAATTTCATGTTTGTCCTCTGCAGGCTTGTCCTTGCTTTACACTGATGTCAGGGTTTTACCAAATGATTCAAGGATATTTTTTTCTAGAAAGTGGGTATAATGACTCCCATTCAGGTATTTGTGGAATAACAAGACACCTTGACAACCACATGGTGACCATTAATTTCCCCCAGAGTGTTTAAAATACACTTAAAGGGAGGTCTTCATCTCTCCCTTAAGTGTGCCCGCTCAGCCTCCGAAAAAAACAGCTCCCATTCACAAACCGTGAAATAGCTCATCACTACAGCAGACATGATAGAAATGTACTTCGATTGGAGTGAGCAGTGCAATAACACTGAAGTAATGCCATCTATTTAGAAAGTTAACCAGTGGAAAATTCCTTAGTCTGCACAACTCCAA